AGGTCCAGCATCAGGACACATACACAGTGCAGTCACTAGTGACCCAGGTCAGTCTGGGAGGTGGTTTTCATCTCCTGGGGGGGGGGTTGCTCTGTGACTTTGTGGCGGGGGAGGGCAGTTACAGATCTTATGCTGCAGTCCTTATCCTGGATCACAGAGCCACGCAGCAGGGGATCTGTAACCCTCCTCCCCCAGGCAGAAACTCACATAGCTGACACATACACGCAGTTCTGCCCAGGAGTGATGGCAGGCTCCGTTGAAACAACCAGTGCACCACTGCGGAGCCTGTCATTCCTGGAGTTTAGAAGCATCATTTGCATCAGAACACTAAACCCGCCCCCCGCCACTGTCTGCGTCCCCGGTTTAAAACATTCCCGCTAAAACAGTAATAAAGACAACGGTGTTCATTGACAAAATAGAACTGATTTTATTTTTTGGGAAGGGGGTGAAGGGGGTATGTAACTGGAGGTTCAGCTTCTGTGTCCACAAACTTAACAGTCACTGGTTACCCTGCTCAGTCTGGAACCTTGCTTTCAAAGCCTCCCGGATGCACTCCACCACCATTCTGCACTTGCTCAGACGGTAGTTGAACAGTTCTTTTTCTGTGTCCAGGGCGCCAGTATAGGGCTTCATGAGCCAGGGCATTAGCGGGTAGGCTGGGTCCCCGAGGATCACTGTAGGCATCTGCACATCCCCAAGAGTTGTTTTGGGGTCCGGGAAGTAAATACCTTCCTGCAGCCGTGTAAACAGACCAGAGTTCCTGAACACGCGAGCGTCATGAACCTTGCCCGGCCATCCGACGTTGATGTTGGTAAAACGTCCCCTATGGTCCACCAGTGCTTGCAGCACCATTGAAAAGTAGCCCTTTCTGTTAATGTACTGGCTGGCCTGGTGGTCCGGTCCCAGGATAGGGATGTGAGTCCCATCTATAGCCCCACCGCATTTTGGGAATCACATCGCGGCGAAACCATCTATGATGACCTGGCCGTTTCCCAGGGTCACTACCTTTGAGAGCAGTACCTTAACGATTGCGTTGGCTACTTGCATGACAACAACCCCCACGGTAGATTTGCCTACACCAAAGTGGTTCGCGACTGACCGGTAGCTGTCCGGCGTTGCAAGCTTCCAGAGGGCTATGGCCACTCGCTTCTGGACAGTCAGGGCTGCTCGCATCCGGGTGTCCTTGCGCTTCAGGGCAGGGGACAGCAACTCACCAAGTTCGAGGAAAGTCCCCTTTCGCATGCGAAAGTTTCGCAGCCACTGGGATTCGTCCCAGACCTGCAGCACTATGAGGTCCCACCAGTCCGTGCTTGTTTCCCGGGCCCAGAATCGCCATTCCACGATATCCACATGACCCATTGCCACCGTGATGTCCTGAGCGCTGGGTCTCGTGGTTTCTGACAGCTCTGTGCTACTCTCCGACTTCAGGCTCTCACGGCGGTGCCGTAGCCTCCTCGCCCGATTTCTCTGCATCTGCCTCAGGGAAAGGTGTATGATAAGCTGCGAGGTGTTGAGAACGGCCACAACTGCAGCGATGGTTGCAGTGGGATCCATGCTCGCAGTGCTGTGGCGTCCGCGCTGTCACTGATCAGAAATGTGCGCGAACTGATTTCCCGCCGGCGCTTTCAGGAAGGGAGGGAGGTCGGTAGTGACGGACGGATGACGACAGTTACCCAAAAGCACCCTCTACACATTTTTTTACCCAGAAGGCATTGGCGGCTCGACCCAGAATTCCAATGGGCAGCGGGGACTGCGGGAACTGTGGGATAGCTGCCCACAGTGCACCGCTTCCAATGTCGACGCTTGCCCCGTTAGTGTGGACTCACAAAGTCGAATTACTGTCCTTAGTGTGGACACACACGTTCGACTTTGCAATATCGATTCCACATATTCGATTTAAGTAAAATCGAACTACTCTCGTAGTGTAGACATACCCTAAGGGACTGTGTTCCTGGCACGCTCAGCCAATGCTCGCCGGGGTGTGATGGCGCTGCAAAGCCCCCAACATGGGCCACTGCCTTACAGGCACAGTCTGGCCTTTATGGAGGCGAATGTAACTTTTTCAGTATTAAATGAAATGACTGGCATTGTTACCATGTAAAACACTGCATAGTGTGGGAGTCTGAATTTCAATAGAACATTTCAACTGAAGCTTTTTGGCATTGTATAAATCCTGAGACAGTCGCTCATGACTAAACAGTTCCTCCTCTATTCTGGTAATGTAGTACCCATTCCTGTAAACCTTTATTCAAGTAAGTATTTTTTTTCCTTTAGATTTGCACTGGTGTAATGGAGAGCAGAATCTGGCCCAGAAAGCTTACACATACTATAAGGCGGCATTTATTAGAACCACCATTCTTTATCAGGCTCAATCAATTTTTCCTTTGAATGACAGTGACATGAAAATATAAAATGAGTACACAATGGTCCATATCCTCAACTCATGTAAATCAACATAGCTCCACTTCTGGCCCTAATGATACTAACTGAGTATTTGCTAATTTAGTATTACATTTAATTAAACAGTTCATCTTCTCATGCATTAGCTTTGTTTTTAGTTTTTGTTTTGCTTTTTTGTTCCATAAACCCAACACATCAATGATGCAAAGCGCTCTCTGTTTTAAGGGACAAATCCTATCCATGTGCAAAGCAACAGTAAGGAGGCTCTATTCAGGGGATCCAGGAGCGTGGGAGCCAAGATGCATCCCAAGTCAGATCAGGATCTTCAATACTATTTGTGGATTCTCTCTGAGTTGTAGTTTTAGGGTCTGATCCTACAAGCCATATGCACAGGCACTCTCATGGAAGTCAGTGGAGTATATAATACGTGTGTGTCTCTCATAACCCTAGATGCTAGATCAGTTTAGCTACCAACAGCTTCTTCAATAGGTTTATGATTAATCTTTTCCTACTAAAACTGTGCTAACATTTTCCTACTAACTAGTATTTAAATTTTTATTCAGGAGAATCTGACTTCTGTTACACCAATGTAAATCCAGATGATCTACTTTGAAGTCAGTGGAGTGACTTCGGATTTATGCTGGTATAAAAGAGATCAGAATGTGGCCCAAGGGGCTCTGGTAAAAGTCTCTCTTCTTTTGCAGGGAAGAGGCTTGTAAATTAACAGTATATCAGTTTGTTTCCAGTTTGCTATGCTAGTTTTGAAGGCCTCATTGGTCCAGAGATTTCTGCCGTGGTTTCTTTGAACTCCTTATGATACCTTTTGAAGATTGGCTACTTCTGACAGAGGGTCCCTCAGGTCATCGGTGGGTCTACTTGATACCTTTACCTTTTTGACCCTTCTTGTCTGAGTTACATGTTATTGGTCATGATTTCAATGACAGATAACATGCTGATGGTTTCTAGTCTTGCAAATATTTTCAGGAAGTGCAGGCATTTCAGTCGTCTTGCCATTTCGATGTTTGCTGTCCATCCACCCGGGTGTGCAGAAACTCCTGCTGCTGCCCCACGGTATACATAGGGAGTTGGGTGTTTTGGAATCATCTGCACACAATTTAAAGCATCCTTTACAATGTATGTGTTATGCAACTGCCTGGTAGAAAATTGATCCTAATAATATAGAATATTTCTAGAAATCTTATTACTTCATCTCATTATTACTGTATATCCTGTTATATTGCAGAGCATAGATTTTGCTTACTATACGAACAGACTCCAATAACTTTTGTTTCAAAACCACATGAAATTAAAAACATGGAAGCAGAAAATATTTTCTTTTCAGCTCTATTTTTCCAACTTTTTAATTTCATTTGTCTTGATTTCCCTTTCAAGTAGCGCAAAAGAGAAATCATGCCTGGTATCCATGAAAAGGAGTAGTTATCCCCACTGTACTAATCTGTATGGAAGAGTCTTATATCATTGAATAGAAATGATAATCTTGTTATTAGTTTTTGAAGCATCTAATAGAATGTTATGGACAGTTGTTTCCCTACCACAGAATTCTGTACAATGGTTTAAAAGTATGAAAACTAACTCATTCTTTGTTCAGTTCTATAGGTTTATAGAGTAGTTTCTATAAACTATTAAATTTCTGTGGAGCAATTGTCTTCACCTCTGTTAAATTCTATAAGGGAAGCATTGGGAATATGGAATGTGTTAAACAGAGACCCCATTTACACTTGATCAGGACTCAAATTAAAGAAATAGTTTAAATATGGTTCCAACTAAACTGACTCCTTATGCAGACAGATTGGCTAGTTTGGCTGAGGCAAGCCATGCTAAAATGATATTAAAAATTGTGTTGTAGCCTATGTAGCCCTCCTGTAAACAAGGGGCATTTTTTATGTAAGCTCTATCCTTAGTGGCTAGTATTGCAGTGTTAACTACTCTACAAAGTCCATGTTAGAAACTTGTTGAGTTAAGTTCATTTTAAATGCAGTTCCAAACATGATTCTTTAATTTGGTTCCCAGGCTAGTATGGACGGAGCCCAAGGTCTCAATCTTGCATGGTGCCAAGCACAGTGTCTTTAAATTCTTTAATTTGTAACAGGGACTTAATTTGAAGTATATGAAGTTCCTTTGACACCTATGGGACTGCTTGTGTAAAATTAAGACCCTGCTTAAGTGTTTTACCAGATCAAGGCCAGATTGCTCAACTTTTTGTATGACTGAGCCCTGAAGACCTCAGGCATGTAGGTGCTGAATCAGAGAGATGTTAAACAACATGCCTAACTTAAGTGCATGAGTAGCCTCACTGACTTCAATGGGTTTACGTACTCAGGCACTTTCCTGAATAAGGGCCATACAATGAAGTCATGCTTCCCAGCTTGTCATACTGTGTCAGGAAAGATTACAAGTACCTGCACTTGTTTATTCACCACTGGTTGGCAGGTTTAAACTATTTTGTGGTTATGGACTGAAATCTCAGGTACTGTTTTTATCCCTTTGTTTTGTGTTGAAGGACACAGGTGTTGTTATCAAGATCAGTAAAGCAAGTAAGCAAGTGACTATTTTAATGTGTTTAATGATAACTTTCACAGACCTGAAAGAAAATCTGAGCAGCCAATGTGTGAAGAGCATGAGGATGAGAAAATTAATATCTATTGTTTAAACTGTGAAATACCCACATGTTCAATGTGCAAAGTTTTTGGTGCTCATAAAGACTGTCAAGTTGCTCCTCTCAAAAACGTTTATCAGCGACAAAAGGTAAATATCTTTTTGCTTCTAATCGTAATGACCCCCTCAATTTAAAGGGAAACTGTCTACATGAAATCTAGTCAGCTAAAAAAAAGAAAGTTCAAAGTGCAGAATCTTTCCCTCAGCTGCCCTGCCAATTTTGTGGTTTTACAATTCATATTTCTGTGGTGTTGGTTTTTGGTTGTTTTGTTTTTTTAAGTTGTTTTCTCCCCTCTTGCCATGTGAAAGACCTAGACAAATCACCAGAGAAACCGACTCTACAGAGTGAAATATTTTACAAGAAATTGAGAAAAGTTATATTTTTCCTGTCTAATTTCTTTCACTTATAATTACATACATATTAGCTGTGATAATAGTAAGGAAATACTTTCAGACAGACGTGTGATTTTTAAGCTGATCTCCCTTTACATTTCTCAGACTCTGTTTTCAGTCCTTTTAGACCATGAGCACAGGCAGGATTGCCAGCAGAAGTGAGGGAGAGAGCAACCCCACTCAAGTCTAATAGTTTTATATTGGATGCTTCTCTTGTTTCTGTTTAAATAGGGATCTTTAGGGGGAAAACCCTCTTCTGCTAGGAATGTTAAATAGCTGGCAGCTCTTTGTGTGCCCTGTATCCTCTGCCATTACTGTCACTAGTAAAAGACTTGGTTATTTATTTTTAATACAGTATTCATTTAAAGACTGACTCACTGGGATATCTACATGAGATAAGGAGCTCTGTGTTCCCTCACATTCCTGGGTCCCCCATTCACCCCATGCCAGTAGTTCTGTATGCTCTCCCATTTCCCCCATACCAGGGTCCTCCATCTGTCGTCGTCCCCCCTGCACACACACACCAGGGGTTCTGTCTGCCCCCTCATTTCCTGCCCGCCCCATTCCAGGGGCTCTGTGTGGGACCCAATTCCTCCTTCCTTCATGCCTCTCCATTGCTCCCTTGCCTTGCACCATTCTTCTTTCTTCTTTTTTTCTCATTCAGTGTGTAAACCTTTTTAAACTTCGTTGGGAGGATGGGCAGAGCTAAGATGAGGGGTGTTGTGTTAGGAGGCTGCCATCAACCAATAATTACAGAGGTGGTTGAACGTGGTAGCTCTGCTAACTGGATGCCAGGGGCTCCATCTAGCCCCCATTTCCCTCTTTTTTTGTTTTTGTTTTTTCTGGTTTTCACCATAATCAATGGGGTTCCTGCCCACATATTCCTCACATATTCCCAGACATTTGGAATGGATTGGGTGTGGCATTCAGAAGTTATCATGTTACAGCCAAATGCTAGCATGGTGAGTGTAAGGCCGTGCAAGCTTGGCCAGTTAACAAATTCATACAAATTATAATTTATTCACAGATAACTCAGGAACAGAAAAAGGAGCTAAATTAATGAATAATTTATTCACTGTGAATAGCTTGCCTGACTCTGCTGCAAAACCAAATTTTTGTACCTAATTACCCACATTGCCTACTCAAAAGGTGCTTTATGCATATACAAATGGATATGCCTGTACATTTTTTCCAGTGCATTTTTAGAGGCTTTCAAGGCGTCTCACAATTTTTTAGAAATTTTCATTCCAGGAAAAGTTTAAAATTTTCATTCTAGCTCAGGATGGAAACAAAATGTCAAAATACCAGAATTTTCCATAGGATGGAAATTCAATTTTTTCAATCAGCTCTAGTTCTGAGCCTTGTGTAGCCCACTCATCCACTGTCTTTGCATCTCAGGTTAATGTGCTATTTTGTGAACAGCGCATGAGAAGAAAGCATATAAAGTAAAACTGCAGACAGTGCATATTATTAACTCTGCATATGCTCATTTTCCTACTCCTGTTTAGTCTGAACTCAGTGATGGCATTGCAGTGCTTGTGGGCAGTAATGACAGAGTGCAAGGAATAGTAGGTCAACTGGAGGAGACCTGCAGGACAGTAGAGGTAAGTAATGCAGCTTGAGTTATGTGTTGAATGTGAAATGCAGGAACATATCTGGTTGTTAATGATAATTTTCATGCATTTATATAATTTGCTTCTTCCAACAGGTTCCCAAATTATTTTGCCAAATGACTGTATATATTACAACAGTGCTGCCAAGTCTGATGATACTGTATTGAGTTTCACACTTGCAGGAATTTTTTTTTAGCTTCTCATGATTTCCTCACATCCTGTAGCAATCTCACAAACTATTCCCCTGATTTGCGGCTGTCTCCCGTTACGCATTGGTTAACATAAAACATAAAACAAGTGTATTAACTACAGAAAGATAGATTTTAAGTGATTATAAGTGACAGGAAATAGATCAAAGCAGACTGCCTAGCAAATAAACAAAACTGCAAGCTAAGCATAATATATTAGATAGATGGGGTTTGAATTAGCAATTTCTCACCCTGACTGATGATACAAGCAGGCTTGCAGATTCTTAAGGCACAAGCTACATCTGCCTTGCATCTTGGATTCCCCTCCTCCGTTCCAAGTCCTTTGTCTTCCAGAGCTTCTTTCAGGTGCTGAGTTGTGGGGGAGTGAAGGCCAGTCATGATGTCACTCCCCACTTTATATAGTCTCTCCATATTGCAGGAACTCTTTGTTTTAAGCTAAGTTCCCAGCCTAGTTTGTGGAAAAATACAGGTACCAAAATAGAATTCAGTGTCATGTGGTCTGGTCACATGCCCATGCATGCCTTGCTGAGTCATAGCAGCCATTATCCATAGGCTGTCTGAAGCATTCCCAGGAAGGCTAAGTTCTTCTATGGTTTATTGTCTTTGTTGATGAGCCATCAGCGCGGTCTAGATTCTTCATTGTTGTACCTGAAATGCTAGTTGTGGGTGTTTTCAACTTCACGTCATCTTTCAGTAACACATACATAGCAAAACTTTATAACTTGATAGCACAAACAATCCAACGAGATATTAATGTTTGGCAGATTAAGATTTTTAGAATGATACCTCACAAGGCATACTTTGTACAAGATGCCACATAATTATATCATAATCATACCATAATCATATTACTGTGGTGAATATGGGGTGCACTACCTTCAGTGGACATGGAGAACAGTCGATCACAGTCCTGTTTAACAGGTCTTTACATATTTGAAGACTATCAGGTTCTCCCTCCATCTTCTTTTCTCAAGACTAACATGCCCAGTTTTTTAACCTTTCCTCATAGGTCAGGTTTTCTAAACCTTTTATAATTTTTGTTGCTCTCCTCCAGACTATCTTCAATTTGTCTACCTCTTTCGTAAAGTGTGGTGCCCAGAATTGGATGCAGTAATCCAGCTGAGGCCAAACCAGTGCCAAGTGGAGCAGGACAATTACCTCCTGTGTCTTATATATGATATATATATATACCTGTTAATATACCCTAGAATTATATTTGGCTTTTTTGCAACTGCAACATTCTTGATTCATATTCAATCTGTCATTCACTATAACCCTCGGATCCTTTTCAGCAGTACTACCACCTAACGAGTTATTCCCCATTTTCTAGTTGTGCATTTGGTTTTTACTTCCTAAGTGTAGTACTTTTCACTTGTCTTTATTGAATTTCATCTTGTGGATTTCAGGCCAATTCTTCAATTTTGTTAAGGTCATTTTGAATTCTAATCTTGTCTTTCAAAATGCTTGCAACCCCTCCCAGTTTGGTGTCATCTGAAAATGTTATAAGCATACCATCCGCCATTATCCAAGTCATCAGTGAAAATCCTGAGTAGTACCAGAATCAGGACTGATCCCTGTGGGACTCACTAGGTACATCCCCAGTTTGGCAGTGAACCATTGATAACTGCTCTTTGAGTACCGTCTTTCAACTCATGGAGAGCTGCCTTCTTCTGTTGTGTGAGCCAAAGGGCAGGTCAAGCACATGTAGGTGAGAAAGAGCACATATTTGATCACAGAACAATGGTTAGATACACTGTTAGGGTACTGCAAAAAGGATAGTCTTAGCAAACGCCCATTGACTCTGGCAGATTAGAGACCTCAATATGGTTGATGTGAAAGGGAGAAGAAACTCATGCCTGGCAACTCCTAATTACATTTGTGTATTATATTAGACAGAAGGGTGTCTTTGTAGACTGAAATAGTTAGTGACATTGTTGCTTTAACTTAGTAGCATAGGAACATGACTGAGACGTTAGGGTCCAATCCTGGAAAGTGTTGCGTGCCATCATCTCTCAGTGAAATCAGCACGTAGGATCAGGAACACAGCATCTCCCAGGATTGGGGTGTAAGAGATTGATATTCATCTGCAGACTCATCCTATCCATTGAAGCCAAGAGGAGAACAGATCCCTACTTTCACCAGTAGTTTATCTCCTCAGACATTTCAGGAGTGTGTGTATTTATTTACCTTGCTTTAGGTATACTGAAAGTAAACTACTTGTTCATGAGTTATACTGTAAGGAGACCACTTTTTTTTTTGTAAGGCTTTTGCTCTGAGAGAGCTGGGATGGATTTCATTCTTTTGCTAGCACAAGTGTCTTTCATGCAGTTCTTCCAAGATGTTTGTATCAATAGAGCAAATAAAGATCACTATTCTGGTCAGTTTGGGAGCAGCACAGTTTGACGGGCCGTGGAAGGAGCCCATATGGAGAGTCACTTTAAGGTCAGACCCTGATGAAACACCCAGTGAACCAATCACACACCAAAAGAAGGGGGGGAAATTAAAAACCTCCTGATCCCTCCAAATAGGAGAAATAAATAGCAAGTGCAGTAAATAACATTTAAAGACAATATTTATAGGTTCTAACTGGCAAGAAAAATGAATTCCACAGTCCAATGCACAATTGCCAAGGGCACCTATTTCCCTGTGCAACCAGAGTAAGGAAGAACAGATAATGTCCAGAATTTGGTTCAAAGAATATAAAACCGTTAACCCACGGAAATGAGAGAGGGTGTAAGCGGCAAAATCAAAACTTTGTAGTCAAGAAGCCTTTGCATTGCAAGGATGAAATTGGCTGCTATCGGGAGTTTGCAGACAGAAATGAGCCTTTCAAGTAAGTTCAGTGTAGAAATTAAAATAGTACAAAAGCTTAGGTTTCTTTCCCTTCAGATTTGACTAGTTAATCCAAAACCAAGACTTCAAACATCTAAACTGAAGTTTACAGAGAACACTCCATTAAAAAAATACATAAATAAATACAGCAATATCTGAAATTAGCTTTCTCAGAGTCATTCACTCATATGTAGAACCCACCTTTTGAACTACAAATCATAAATTGAGATTGATAGAACAAGAAGTGCAGAGCCCGTCTACCTTCACACACCTTAACAGGCTTTGCATCCGTAAAATCAGAGATTACAGAAAACAGAGATTACAACTTTACATAGTGCTTCCACTTCACATTGCAGACAAATCATACTTCTTGCCATCACATGACCTTCATTTGAATTTGACCTTGAAGGCTCAGATGAACAGGTGGAACCAAGACACCCCAGAATCAGGCTTGCTGGTTTTTCCTATCCTCTACTTAAGTCGACACATTGCACTACTTACACTACTTTAGAGTGAGCAATACAGAAAGTACGTGGTCAGGTTGCTTTTAGCTCTTGTAAACAGTAAGCCCACAGTTCTAAATTTAGCTACAGTTTCTATGCAAAGTTTTAAAAAACAGGCCAATATATATTCAAATTACAACAAACTAACCAAAAAGTAACACAATTTCACGTATTCTACTGAGAGCCACAATGAAGTATAAAAATCTATATAATGGTAAACCATAATGAAAAAAGAAACAAATATTTAGGACTATAAAATGTGAGAGTCAAATCATAAATAAAGTAGGAATTTCCATAATCCTGTCTATATTTGTATAGATATGATACTTACCATAGTATACAATTTTCAAATGCTCAGAATTTTGGTCAATCAAGCCAATATTTTTCAGAGCAAGCAATGGCACTAGTACTTAATGATGAGTGTTCCAGGTCTCATCTTGTAGCTCTTTTTAATGTAGCTGTTTTTAAAAAAGTGTGGTGAAAATTTTTACAATTAGAGAGGGTATTTTTTTTTACTTACTCATAACTCAAAAACTGATGAAGTGGTTTGGTCAGACTTAAAAAAAAAACTGTTCACACAGATTAAATATGAAAAATTTCAACACAAAATGTGAATATTTTGGAAAACAGGGCATAGTGGAGACTGTTTTGCAACCTGGACATACAGAGTTTACTACCGATGACCTCTGTAATAGATGCTGATTGCAAATTTTAATGTAATAAAATACCAGATTATATATATAGAGAGAAGGACCTCTTAGGTCATCCAATCCCGCAACCCATAGTGATATGAAGAGTGTTTAACACACCCCTGTTGTGGAATGATGCTTAATGCTATGTCCACTAGCAAATGACCTACTTTAAGGTTCAGGGAACGTAGTTGTAGACAGTCTGAAATGGAGGACAAGGGTGGAACAAGAGGAAGGAGAGATACGCTAGGTAGGAAAAAGAATGGGGGGGAAACTGTAAAGGATGTAAAAGGGGAAGGGGAAAGAGACTGAAAAGGAGGAAGGGAAAACACAATGGTACTCAACAACTGTTTATTTGATTTTGGCACATCTGTCATAAACCCCTAACTACTGCAAAAAATCATGTGGGCTCTTTAAGTATCACAAGGGATCAGGAGCTAAGTTTTATGTCTCATTTGAAAGATGTCAGCAAATCTTTCAAATGAGTGGCCCCAAATCTTCATGGGGAGTTCGTTCAGTCACTACTCCTAGGGAAGAGCACCACATATAAATACTCCAACACCATTTCCCACTGCACGTTATGTTCAATCCAAACATTCATCAACCCCAATCTTTTTTTAGCCTGTGAGTTCTGCTAAAATGACAACATGAATGACCATAGGTACAGCACAGGCATATTTATTACAGTAAAAATAACTATACTAAAGAAATATTATTTAGGTTGCAAAGTCAACTGTTTGAAAGTTAGGAAAAGCTAGAATTTAGGTTGGAACCTTAATTTGCTCCTATTTTGTGCATTATTATGATAACATGACCACATGTTATTTTTGGCACAGGACCTCTGCCTCATTCAGTGCACTGTAAAAGTAGTATAATTGACACCCATTTTAAGCCCCTTCATGCTACCTGAGTGATGTCAAGGGGCCTTAAGTGTAAAGGATAAATAGGACCTCACAGTCTCAGTAGCATTTCAGGAGCTCTGGTGGTGATGGAATTTTCTCTAGAACTCATTTGAGCTGATCTGTCCTGTTCTGCTCATTTGGCTGTTAATATAACAATTATCTTCCTGATTTTCCTATGAACTCTTAAGTATTACTACAAACATAACACAAATGTCTTTCACCTTTTTTAGAATGCTGGAAATGAAATAGTCTATTTGTTTTTAAAAATATTCCCAAGTATTCACAAAACTTTTTGTTCAAACAGATTTAACTTAGAAAATTACAAAAGTCTCTGGGGTCTTTAAAAAAACCTTGTATTGTTCAGAAAAGGATTTCTTTGATGAAAACACTTCCAAGTAATTGTAAAAATAGAAACACTTTTAAGCCACATAACACTTTTAACATAAACCAAATGATTCACAGGAATGCTGCAGAAGACAAAAAGAGCAACTGTGTGAAAAATTTGATTATCTGTATGCAATACTGGAAGAAAGGAAAAATGAGATGACACAAATAATCACTAGAAACCAAGAGGAGAAACTGGAACATGTCCGCTCCCTGATGAAAAAGTATGCAGATCACTTGGAGACAGTGTCTAAGCTAGTTGAATCAGGAATCCAGTTCATGGAAGAGCCAGAAATGGCAGTGTTTTTGCAGGTATATTTCAGAGGATTCTAAACAGAGGTAGGAAAAGAGTGGGGGAAATTAATCACAAACAAATTGTGACTCACTTTTCAATTCAAGCACAATCCCTGTTTGTTCACTTCCCAGTGAACATCCACACAAACGAGTTTTCATTCACAACAATGTGCAGAAATGATTTTTCTTCATTTGAATAACATGCAAACAAAGGGGTAAGCACGAGAATACGAGCATTTTCTATTCACATAAAAAATGCTGTCCTGTTGATAAGTTTTCAGTCATCCAACCAGGAAGCAGAAATAATATTTTCATATATATTTATATGATCCCCAGCACTGCAATATTTGAGCACCCCCCAATTCTGTATATGGATTTAGCCATTTCACCTCTGTGAGGTAGTGGAGTATTATTATCCCTATTTTGCCTATGGGCAGTTGAGGCACAGAGAGGTTAAGTGACTTGCACAAGGTCACACAGGCTATGGCAGGGCCAAGAAGTTTTAGGTTACATTCCAATTCCTTAACTATAAAACTATTCTTCCTTCTTACTATGGGTTTGGACCTGCTACCACTGAAACCAGTGGCAAGCTTCCCATTGATTTCAGTCAAGTAGGATTTGGTCTCATGTGACTTTCCATCCTGGAATCTTAAAATCCCATCTGACCCCCAGCAGGGAGGATCTTTTTTACAAGAACAATGTGCAGGAACAGGAATTCATCCTGAAGGGCAGAAAACCCTCTGTAGGATATGTGGAACTGTAAGGCGTCAGAACGAGAAGTGACCAATCACCCACTGTGAATAGTCAGACATAGTCCGAGAAAGAAATATGCTAGAGTGAAATGTTCACAGAACAGTTATGAATAATGATAACTTTGTAAAAATTCAAAAGTCTATCCTCAGTTAATTTACACATAGCAAAAGGGCACAATGCATTGGATAAATTAGTCTGTAGGAAAAGTTTGCCCAGTCCAATTTCTAGGAAACAGAAGTCACTGTCAAGGAGAGCAGGAGTATGTGGGTTGTGTCCGGGAGGGAATATTGGTTGGGCTGGTCAGCTTCAGTTTTGCCGCTGTGTGTGCACTGCATATGAGCCTATGTATCTATCTCAATAAAAGCAGATATTAAGGGCCTGATTCTCATTTACACTTTACACTTCCAGAGCAGTATAAAGGGGTCTAAATGTAAATGAGAATTAGGGCCTAAAACACACTGTTGTTCACATGTAAGCTAGTTCTAACCTCAGTCTAATCTTATTCATAGGCCTCAGAGCTCTCATTTATCATGAGAGCTCAAGCTAGCATATTTAGAAACAGCACATGTAAGAATCAGGTATCAAAGCATAAAACCTGTGTAATAAAACGAACCTTTTAAGCATTCAGTCATTTCACTTTTGTTTTCACAGAATGTCAAAGCATTGCTACAAAAGTAAGTACTTCCCATTTGAAAGGAAGTGTATGTTTTTGATATTTATCATAAATTATCCATTCTGTAAACATTTATTTGCCAACCCAAATGCAAATGTAAATGACAAAATATCTCTATTTTAGAATTACTGAAGCATCTAACGCATTTCAGATGGAAAAAATAGAGCCTGGCTATGAAAATATGAGCCATTTCACAGTCAACCTCAATAGAGAAGAAAAGATAATAAGAGAAATTGACTTTTACAGAGGTATGTTATTGATGTGACCAAAACTGCTTGCTTTCTTTTCAGTTGTGTGCAATTTACATGAAGATACCATGTAAGGAAAATTCAAATCAGATATTCCCTTCTATCCACCAATGTACCTAGATCATTTAACATAAATTTTAATCAAAAGTAAAACCCACCAAGGTTTAGAATCATGTAACATGTTGATTCTTATTTTCCTTTAATATAGCCTAGTCTTTCCTAAGGACCTGATCCTTCAGTCCTTGCTCATTGATTACTCATGTAAAAGAGCTGTAGGATTGGGCCTGTATAGGTACTAGTCTGTCATTACAATGAGAAACAGCAGTTTTATGGACTGTCTGATATAGAAAATCATTAAAGAAATAGAATAACGCAAACTAATAAAAGTAACTATGAATAATATATTTTTCTTTTTAATTATATCAGAGAAATTTCATTGAAAATGTAAATGGAGTTCAAGATCATACATTTATGGAGACGAACAAGGATGCCATTATTTCTTATACATTTAGGGATTTCCTCTGGTGTCATTTATATGCCTGATATTTCAGAATAGATGAAATAGTACACAGTTACTATTCTATGCTTAACAAAGTAGCATGCAAACGGGGCACCGTTATGCTTCAGCTTACAAAATGATGGGAAATCAGAGGGTCTGAATAGTTGAAATAAACAGATTTCTCTCTTAAAATCTTGAACATCTGAAAATATAGAGAATCACAAGGCTGGTCCTCTATTCTTTACCTACTAACCTTGGGCTTTACTGTTACATTTATATTTCATATGATAGTAACACCATTACTAGGATGTATGTTAATATATAGTGTCAACATAAGGAGGTCAATCCTGAACTCCTAGTACATCTAACACTCCCACTGAAGTCAATGGGGCCTCTGTTTTCAGAGGGCTTTCAAGATCAGGCTCAAGATGACTTCTTGTATCAGTATATAAGAACATTCCTCATTGTGATAACTTTTTCTAGTTTGCAATTCGTTCTTGGTATCTTCTTAGTCATACAAAACATGTAAGCCAATGAAAAGGTTTAGTAAAATCTTCCTGAGTGAAAGTTAAGACTCTCCCTACCTTTACAAAATATATGGTCAATTTGAAACTACAGTTAATACATCATGGGATCATAGAAATGTAGGGCAGGAAAGGGACCTCAAAGTCATCTAGACCAGTGTTTCTCAAAGCCAGTCCGCCGCTTGTTCAGGGAAAGCCCCTGGTGAGCCAGGCTGGTTTGTTTACCTGCCGCATCCACAAGTTTGGCCGATCGCAGCTCCCACTGGCCGCGGTTCGCCGCTCCAGGCCAATGGGGGCTGCGGGAAGCGGCGCGGGCCGAGGGGTGTGCTGTTCGCCCTCTGATTTCCTAGTTGACTATCATGTTGCCATTTAATTCCCATGTTGTTGATTACTCTAGACCCTTTGTATTAATTCTGTATCCTCGCTGGTATTTAAAGCTCCTCTCAATTTAGTATAATCAGTGCAGATTTTATTAACTTGCTGTATATTCCTTCCTCTACAAAGATGTTACTTGAGATCAGGACTAAAACAAATGTCTGAGGTTGACCACTAGACACATCCCTTCAAGTTAATAGTCTGTCATTTATCATAAGACTTTCTTTACAGTCCTTCAGCCAGTTTTCAATCCATGCTGACAGTGTTAATATCCAAGCTGATTTGAACTGATTTTGAGAGGAAGATTTTGTGGAACACTGTGTCAAATGCTTTAATAAATCCAAATATAGTACATCTACTAATTTCCCTTCAGCCACTAATTTTGTATTCCTGACCGGGCCATTAAAAGTCCAGTTGGCCACCTGCAGTGGGGCAGGCAGGCTCCCTACCCAGCTCCTTGTGGTTCCCAGAAGCGGCAGGCATGTCCCTCTGGCTCCTAGGCTCAGTGGCGGTCACGGGAGCTCCGTGCACTGCCACTGCCCCAAATGCCAGCTCCGCAGCTCCTATTGGCCTGGAGCTATGGCCAATGGGGGCTGCAGGGGCGGTGCCTGCAGGCAAGGGCAGCATGCGGAGCTGAGTCACCTGGCCACCCCTGCGCCTAGAAGACAAAGGGACATGCTGGCTGCGTCTGGAAGCTGCCTGAGGTAAGCGCTGCCCAGAGCCTACACCCTGCACCTCCTCCCGCACCCCAACCCCTGCTCCAGCCCTGAGTCCACTCCTGCACCAAACTCCCTCCCAAAGCCTGCACCCTCTCCCACAGCCCAACTCCCTGCCCCAGCTTGGCCACCCGGAGCCTGAACCCTGACCCCCTCCTGCACCCCAATCTCCTGCCCCAGCTCAGCCGCCTGGAGTCCACACCCCAACCCCCTGCCCCAGCCCTGAGTCCCCTCCCACACCCAGACTCCCTCCTGGAGCCTGCACCACACATCTCCTCCAACACCCCAACACCCTGCCCCATCCCGCACTCCAAACCCCTCATCCCAGGTCCAGAGCCCCCTCCTGCAGTCCAAACACCTCATCCCTGGCCCCATACCAGAGCCCACACCCCTATCAGGAGCCTGAACCCCCTCCCGAACCCCAGTCCCCCACCCCAGCCCAGAGTCCCCTCCCACACCCTAACCTCTCATTTCTGGCCCCACTCCAGAGCTCGCACCCCCAACCCAGAACCTATACCTCATCCCACACTCCAACCCCCTGCCCCAGCCCGGAGCCCGCTCCCACACTCTGAAATCCTTGGCCCCAGCCTAGAGCCCACACGCTGAACCCCTCATCCCCGGTTCCACCCCAGAGCCAACACCCCCAGCTGGAGCCCTCACCCTCTTCCGCACCAAGTGACAGATGGAGGGGGGAATGGAGTGAGCAGGGGTGGGGCCTCGGAGAAGGGACGGGGCAGGGGCATGGCCTTGGGGAAGGGACAGGGAAGGGGGCGGGGCAAGGGTGTTTGATTTTCTGCAAATAGAAAGTTGGCAACCCTATGCCCTAGGGGAGCTTCTGGAGGCTATTTACTAGGGCTGACAAGCGATTAAAAAAATTAATTGCGATTAATTACGCAGTTAAACAATAATAGAATGCCATTTATTTAAATATTTTTGGATGTTTTCTACATTTTCAAATATATTGATTTCAATTATAACACAGAATACAAAGTATACAGTGTTCACTTTATATTCATTTTTTATTACAAATATTTGCACTGTAAAAACCAAAAGAAATAGCATTTTTCAATTCACCTAATGCAAGTACTGTAGTGCAATCTCTTTATTATGAAAGTTGAGCTTACAAATGTAGAATTATGTACAAAAAATAATTGCATTAAAAAATAAAACAGTGTAAAACTTTAGAGCCTACAAGTCCACTCAGTCCTCTTTCTTCTTCAGCTAAATTGCTCAAACAAGTTTGTTTACATTTGCAGGAGATAATGCTGCCCACTTCTTGTTCACAATGTCACCTGAAAGTGTGAACAGGTATTCTCATGGCATTGTTGTAGCCGGCATCGCAAGATATTTATGTGCGAGATGCGATAAAGATTCATATGTCCCTTCATGCTTCAACTACTATTCCAGAGTACAGTTGCTCTTTTAAGACTTCTGAAAGCATGCTCCACAACTCATCCCTCAGATTTTGGAATGCACTTCAGATTCTTAAACTTTGGGTTGAGTGCTGTAGCTATCTTTAGAAATCTCACAATCCCACAATCTTCTTTGTGTTTTGTCAGATCTGCAGTGAAAGTATTCTTAAAATGAACATGTGCTGGGTCATCATCCGAGACTGCTATAACATGAAATATATGGCA